AAAGTTTCATCTATTGATGCAAAGAGCCAGCATTTTGTAGTTTTATATGATGAGGCAATGCATCTTTGCACCTGTTTAACATTAATTAATTGTGAGATTGTTTGCCGGTACTTCTTTGCAGTAATGCTAGTATCAAAAGTTGCAAAATTTCATGTCGAGCTTATATCTAATAGATGGTTTTTGGACAAGATAACATTGAAACAGAGATAAATATTGCAAATCAAACAGTGATTTCAGTAATATATGGTAATAATTTTAGATCATTTGAACATCGTATTTATATCAATTTTGAGCATATTGAAAAAATTCATGGAAGTTATGTTTTTACCAATAAGGTTTGCAAAAAAATGTTATTTAAGCAATGATGGGGCAAAGGATTCAGTATTATGAAAAAGGTTCTTGATTTATCAATTGTAATGGGTAGTATGAAAAGTTATATAAAATATACCTGAATTTAATAAAAGAAATAAAAATGAAACTCAAGGCAGAGAATAGTCATAATATTGTAGACAATAATTTTAATAATTTTATAACTATAATTAACAATTCTGTTAGCATTTATTCTAAAGGTCGAAAATGAAAAAATGCAATTTTTGGATATACTTAAATCAAAAACAGGCAGTGCAATTCAGATCAATCATAATGATATATTGAATTCATATAGAAAACAATTACAAGATATTACAAACCAAGAAAGTCAAGAAAGCCGATCTTGTTATTATGATATTTGTAGCCAAATTAAGCACAATGTGCATATATGCAATTTGGATAGTTCAATTAATCAGATAGACATTACGCAGAGAAATTATGTTGAGAATTCAAGTTTATCAAGCATGGGTAAGTTAAAATTTTGTATTATCTAAAAAGAGAATAGTAATATTAATGCCAATTATTATATATCACAGCTGACAAGGATCTTAATTATGAGAATATGTTGCATCATTGTGAAATATGTGGTTAAAGTGTTCACAATACTCGTATATGCAATTTAGATAGTAAAAACAAACCAAATAATAATATAGTTGGAGATTACTCTAGTGATCAGGAAAATATCAATAGTGTTGAAAATTCAGATTTAATAAGTATAGATAAGTTTAGAATTATTTTGTTTCATTAAAACATAATTATTAGCATGCTAACGATTGAATTTATGTATTTAGTTAACAAAAATCTAATCGTCAATAAGCTTCGTTATTGTGGTGCTTGTAGACAAGCAGGTCATAATACTCATACATGTGACTCTAAAAATTAGTATGTAAGTAAAATGATAAATGCAAGTATTTGAATTTTACGTTATCATGTGTTTGTCACATTTATGAACTTTCTGTATTGATATAATTAATGTTTACTTTTTTTTTTTTTTTAAATTAGCCTTTTTGGGACTAAGATCTTTATTCAAGTATTGTCAAGTGGTGAACTTGCAGTAAAACTATATTAACCTAAAAAATATATCTGACATTGAAATTCATCTACCAAATTGACTAGCTGTGT